AGGGGAAGACTTCTGAGAGCTCCTAATTACCAGCTGCGGAACTCCGACTCACCTCTCGGAGGAGACTGGGAGCTCGCAGCGCGCATGTGCGAGCTCCGCGCGCTCCCTGCACTCTCCGTGCGCGCCCCGTCCGCGGGCCGCTCCCAGCGGTCCGCGCCCCGCCTGCCACCCGCCTCCGCTGCGCAAGCGCGCCGGGGGTCCAGGCCCGGGACTGCTTATCCGTTGGGGTGTTTGGCGGCTGGGCCAATTCCCTGCCAGGGCCCGAAGGTTGGTAGCTGTCCCGCTGTCTGAGAGGAACTGCGGCCTCGGGTGGCTGGAAGCCTTCAGACCAATCGGCAGGCGGTGGAAGGGCGCATACCCGGCGCCCTGCGGTCGCTTGGCCGAGGCTTGAGCGCTTGGGGCGCTGGGATTCCCGGCGCGGACGGCCCCGGGTGGGCGGGTGTTTCGGTGGCAGAGGGAGAACCCTACACGGGTCGGGGGAGGGCGGGTCCCTCCTGGCTGCAAATTGTGACCCAATCATCTCTGCTTGCGGTTTGAAACGGCACCCGCCCATCCACCCGCTCGGAAGTCCGAAGTCTAGCCGAGAGGACAAGTGACCTGCAGACTTGCGGCGGCTGGAGGGGAGGGAGCAGACCCAAGAGGCGGCCCCCGAAGTAACTCCCTGAGACCGGGGAGCACTTGTCCGCTCCACATTCAAGGCCCTTCCCCGCTCGCGCCCAGCCCTACAGGGCATCCCGATTCCGGCAGAGGGAGAGGGAGGCCTGCCCGTCTCCTATCAAGTTGACTTGACAACAATTACGAAAGTTTTTAATTAGCTTCTTGTTATCATTCATTTTATTAATTTCCAGAACTCTCAAGCCATGAATTATTCAAAGGGCAAGACAACCGGAGCGGGGCGGTCGCGCGCCCCCGCCGCACGTTCCCGGCTCGGCTCCCGCAGCGCTGCTCGCCAGCCGCCCCGGAGGGCGTGAGCCGGCCCCGCGCCGCCAGCCGCGGTGGCGGCGCGAAGGTTTGATCAAATATTAAATAACGTAATTATTGCGACAAGGCTTATCTCGCAGGTGGAAAAGAGGTTCCCCGCGAGAATTAGAATTCGGCTGCTATTTTTAAAAAATCAATTAAGCTTGCGGTCTCCTTTGAAACTGCCCGCGTGCTCTGTGTGGCTCGCATCGTGGGGCTGAGACTGCAGCGCCAATAACACGGATAAACAGAACCATACCAGATAATAATTGTGGTCATCACCTTTACCATCCCGGGGGCCACCAAGGCAATTCGAATGGAGTGGGGGAACACTGCTTTTTAGCCAAAGTCAGAACTCAACAATTCCCACTTCATGGACTAGACTATGAAAGCTCTTCCCCCAGAAAGATGGAGCAGGGATGCTTCACGCAGGGTAGACGAGAGAGACGCCCGGGCGACGCGGCTGCGGGCCGTGGGCAGGGGCTGGCCAGGTGAGTCCTAGGGGCTAGGGCGCCCTGTCTTCCGTTGGCCTGGCTATGTGTGGTAACAGGACCGAAGTAGTCTTAGTATCAGGAGAAAGTATACCATCATGGCAGTGGGTGCTACGGTTTATTTATGAAAGTGTAATCGAAGTTGAGAGCAATTTAAGAAAACGTATTAAGCAAAAATCTACTCAGAAGTTAGTTGATGTGTCTTGAGGGCATCATTTCTCAGACCTATAGGAGCAGGACCCTGAGCTAGGACTGGGGCAAACTGAAATTTAAAATGAATGAATGGTATCAACGTGGCAGGTGCATTTCATGCTTATTTTTCTTTTGCCCTGCCTACTCCACGAACGCCTGGATTTCCCGAGGAGCCGAAATACAAACGGAGCACAATTTTCCCGCTCTCACCAACTTATTTTAAGATCATTCTTTTAAAGTTCCGCAGCCATACATTTTAGTATTTCCACTCACCAACTGGTTTCAGAATCTGCTTAAAGTGTAGTTCCTCTTCCCAACCAGAGAACTTTGAAAGGTCAGCACCGCTGAGTGACAAGCCTTTGCTCTCGCTTCAGGAGGACATTTATTTGCTTGTTTGTTTCTTCCTAAATTGACAAAGGTGTCTTAGAACAGTCTTATTCCTTCCCACGGTACACAGATTCACTCACCAGAGAGCAAAGCATTTTTGTTTTGCACAGTTTCCTACTACATAAAATAGGAAACTCTGCAAAGCATGTGTTTTCATGATGTTTTATTAACATAATATTGTCTTCTTTTTATTTGATAAGGATTTTAATACAAAACAAATGCTTAAGCTCTTATTACATACATTGGTCATCATTATATAATACAAATGTATTTGCCTGCAACATTGGAGCAGATTGGGAAAAGAAAAAAAAAAACAGCCTTTGTAAATCTTTTCATTTGTTCATTCCTGGTTCTCCAACAATGAAATCCGGTCATACTTTCCTATGAAATAACGGTTGGTTTGTTTGTTTTTACAAATGCATTTTATTAAAAACTTTGATGACATTTCAAGTCAATAACAACAAAAACAAATCAATTTTGATGGAAGAGATCTATTTTTAAAAATACCTCTAGTGCTTTTTTAAACATTAACAACTGTTTAAAATCACAGCTTTTTAAATGTACTATTCTTTTTTGAACATCAAGTGTTTTGTTTCACAGATTTGCCGGTGAAATTAAAAAGATTTGGCTAAAATGGGATGATGTCAGAAGATATAATCCCAGCTATTAAGAAACTTTGTACATTTGGCATCTGATCTAGTCCAGGGTCACCAAGAAATAAAGTATCTCTGGTCTTTCTGGAGCAGTAGGTGGCACACTAAATGTTTCAAATGAACACAGGCATTTGACATGGTGGCTGGACAGATCCATGGATGATTTTTTTATATTTATTAACCTCCAAAGCAAAGTCATTTAGTTACAACATTTTTTAAAGAAATGTTTATAGGCTAGAAACACCACATAGAAATCTCCAAATGCCTCTTTCCCTGAACCTCAATTTAATTTGGGGAGGGGGCCTGGTTATTTATTACCTTCCACCACTCTGAAGTGAGAACTGTGGTTTAAGAGTTTCTGCAGTTAAAAAAAAATTGATAAACACAGGCAACTAATATAGAATTCATTTTATTCAGAGCACCGCTTTTCACATGAGTTATCTGAAAGTGAATTCTGATTCAGCAGAAAAATACATCATTCTCACCCCTTCCTCACTTTTTATCCCCCTTTCAATATCCTCCCTTGTATTTGTGGTTGAACCTCATTTTTTGACCGGCTCTACCAGGACTTGGCCCAGTATAAACAAAAATGCACCCAAATCATAAAACTGCTCTTCTTTCAGTTATGTTTTATTTGTAAGCGTACTGGGACACATCCCCCTGTTGTATTTTGGTGCACAGAAATGGTTCTAATAGGAGTGGGGAGGAGGAAAGGTATTAGAGCAAAGACATAACCAAGGAGAAAGCTCAGCAGACATACATGGACAGGTAGAGCAATCGTGAGACATTTCAGGATTAACACTGGCAGTTTTGTAACCATTGTGTGAGTGTGTGCGTTAAAGAAAATATTTACAGTAATTTTCCTTTTGTTCTCTTCCTCTAAATACAAGAATATGACAATGTGTTTTCGGTGAAAACAGGCAGTAGACTGTGAAATCACACTATCCACAAAACGGTCTATCAGAAAGCTAGCCCAGTTTAGTGCTCAGTTTCAAATGCATAGTATGTTTGCGCTGCAAACAATGATATACAACGTAATTAAATAAATAATGCCTAACCAGAGTGAGACCTAATTGTGTTTCTTTCTGCACCTTTCAGATCATGCATGATTTCAGTCTTGTTAAATGGCAGAGCTTTCCTTTTCTCATTTGTTCTGTTTTCAGTTTTTTAGTTCTTATTAAAGGATGGTGATAAACCATCTCCACAAGAGATCAAAAGAGTATCTTATGCACCAAGCAGGCATTTTACCTAACCACCTTCAGCTGTCTTGTTTTTGTTTTTAACCATCAGCAGTTCAGAGAGTACCTTGATTATTACTATGAAATACTATACATGATTTTCTATTTGGGGGACTGATAGTGCAAATTAAAGTTCTTGCTACCCAACATTTATCCCCAGCAATAAATTACTTTTGAATAATAATAATAATAATAATAATGAAACACAGTTGTTCTGCTTCCCCCCAACATGCAGACCCTTTGAAACAAACGGAGGGCTTTAAACCTGTCTTCCTCTCTCCTGGGATTTAGCTGATTTTTCTCCCAGCCAAGTCCTGCTCCAACTGAAAGCAGAAACTTTCCAGTATTTCCAGAACGATTTCATGGTCTTCAAGAGAGAAAGAAAGGGTACCTAGAAGAGCAAGATGAGTCTTGTTCTAGAGAGAAAATGGGGCACAGTACCTTTCCTAGTGTCTTCCACCCCATCAGTGTATTTGAATCAATAGGGGGAAAAGTCAGTAGGTAGTTTAAAATAAACCACACTCAGAAAAATAAATGAAAGGGCAAGCAAGTTCCATGGGCACGGGGGTGGAGGGAGAAATTTTAAAATAATCTGTTTTCCAGATCTTAGATATAAGCAAAAATGAAAGGAGAAAAACCTTGTTAAATTGTTTTATTATCCTAGAATAACATATTTATTTCGGAGACCCTAAATTCTGCCTTTTAGTCAGCTCAGATTGTGTGTGTCTCTCTCCCTAAACATCCCCACCAGACATGACCAGACCACAGGAGTATAGGCCAGGTTACCCGAAAATGTGGGACTCCTGAATAGCCTCCCTCTCCTTGCTGTGCCCCCCCCCCCATTTTCTGGCAATGGAGAGCAGCTATAGGAGTCTCATTGGAATGGATAATATAAAGAGGACACGGATGGGGTGGAAGTGAGACTTGGGGGGTGGGCAGTGAACACAGAACAACTAGCTTTGCTACCCAGAATTTCACCTTCTGGTTTGTTTGGTTTTCGATTTTAACTCAGTTTATGTATGTAGGGTTGGGGTGGGTGGTAATAATAGTGGTGCTCTTTTTCTCTTTTCCTTAGGGAGTAATGAAGCTGCAGAACATGGTTCCCCAGAGTTAAGTTTCTAAAGCGTTTTTTTTTTTCTTTTTGTTGTTTTGTTTTAGTTTGTCTTTATTTGTCTGGTTTTTGGTGGTTGGTAGGTTTGTTTTTGTACATAGTCCCTTGGTCCCCAGGAGATTTTGACAAGTGTCTCTGGTCAAAGACAGTCCATTTCCCTAGACTTCCCGAGTCTCCCCCCACCCTAACCCCCAGAACCAATCTGCTCCTCAAAACCCCTCCTCCAATCTCTGCTTTCCTTTCCCTTGACTCCCCGCTCACCCAAATATTCCCTCTTTCTCCCCTGCCTGGTTCTCCCGCATCCACACCCAGCACCGCAGTCCTCTTTTCTGGGGAGGAGAAAGGGCAGGGAGAGCAGAGAGGGGGGTAGAGGAGAGTGCGCTAGGAGGGACTCCCCAAATGCAAGCAAGATAACGGACACTCCAAATCTAGAGGAAAACAGGCTCGGGGAAAGGCCCCGAAAAGCCCCTTCAGCTCCCCGCTCTGCCCCGCCCTGCACCTCCCACTCCCCATCAGTAAGTGGCGGAGAATTTCATCCGCTTCTGCTTCTGTCTCTGGTTGCAAAACCACACCCGCACCACGTTCTTTTTGAGGTCCAGTTTCTCGGCGATGGCGGCGATCTTCTCGGAGGAGGGCCGGGGTTGTACGGCGAAGTAGGCCTCGAGGGAGCGCTTCTCCGGCGCTGCGATGGAAGTCCGCTTGCGCTTCTTCTCGCCGCCGTTGAAGAGCTCGGGCTTGTTCATTTTCTCGCGCTGCGCGCCCTCGGCCTCCTCGAGCCACGCCTGCAGGATGGGCTTGAGCGCGATCATGTTGTTGTGCGAGAGCGTGAGCGACTCGAACCTGCAGATGGTGCTCTGGCTGAGCGAGCCCACGCCCGGGATCTTGAGGTTGGCCAGCGCCGAGCCCACGTCGGCCTGCGTCACGCCCAGCTTGATGCGCCTCTGCTTGAAACGCTCGGCGAATGCCTCGAGCTCGCGCGGGTCCGTGTCCGAGTCGCAGATGGACGCCAGGCCCGCCGCGCCTACCACGGCCGCAGCCGCTGAGGCCGCCGCCACCTGCCCCGCCGCCGCCGCAGCCGCCGCAGCCGCCGCGCCGTGGTGCGCCGCCGCCGCCACCAGCCCGGGGTGCGGCAGACCCGACGGCATGTTCATGGCGGCCGCCGCCGCCGGGTGCGACAGGTGGCCCAGGCCGTGCATGTGCGGATGCGGGTGCGCCGAGCCGCCTAGCAGCCCGCCGCCCGGGCCGCCGCCGCCGCCCCCCGGGCCACCGCCGCCGCCGCCGCCCCCGCGCCGCCGCCGCCTC